CAGCACTTGGTAGCAGTAGTACTAACCAATCAGCACTCAGTAGCAGTAATGCCACCCAATCAGCACTCAGTAGCAGTAATGCTAACCAATCAGCACTCAGTAGCAGTAATACTAACCAATCAGCACTCAGTAAGTAAGTAAGTAAGTAAGTAAAGTTTATTTATATACACTTTTTACAACAGGTGTTGTCACAAAGCAGCTTTACAAGGAAATGAGCATTACAGAAAGAAATCCGGGTCCAAGCCCCCATGAGCAAGCTAGTGGCGACAGTGGCAAGGAAAAACTCCCTAAGAGAAACAGGAGGAAACCTTGAGAGGAACCAGGACTCAGAAGGGGAACCCATCCTCCTCTGGTCGACACCGGATAGTAAACACTGTTAGTATAAAGTATTATAGTAAAAAAACAGGGTAAAGGTAGCAGTAATGCTAACCAATCAGCACTCAGTAGCAGTAATGCTAACCAATCAGCACTCATGTTAATGTCCTAGTGTTTTGGGTTTTTTGCTTTTTAGTGAAATACATTCTTCTACTTTCCAAAATTAAAGGAAGGTCCAGAACAAATAGTTAGAAACTATTTTAACTTTTATGTTCTGTTCTGCCGTTTAGGTGGCAGAGAACTCGCTCTTGGGTGCCCTCTGGTGTTTTGTAGTCTTGTTTTTGATGTAGCGGGAGAAACAGGAAGAAAGGAAGAAGTAACTGAACTGAGCTGGTGTCTGCCATTTTTGACTGAAAATCCAAAAGCCAAAAACTCAACAAACACTCAAAACGGCCTTATTGATTCACTCTGGCAGATACTAGAAACATGTGAACAAAGCATAGTCCAGCACTATTGTACTAACATTTTGCCCAAAATGCATGACAAACCTTGTGTGAGCTTAAATTTATTTATTTACTTATGAAAGATACACTTCAGCTGGCACTGGAGAAGAAATCCATTTCCAAGCCCCATATGAACCTCACCATTGTTGACAGTGGCAAGAAAAACTTCCTAAAAGCAGGAGGAAGAAACCTTGAGCAGAACCCATCCTCCTCTGCTTGATGCTGGGTTGAAAAACAAATAACACGAGCAAAATGAATAAAGGATAAGACTTGACAATTAATATTCAACGTGAATAAAAAAGATAAAGGATATGAGTACTTAGATTAGATGGTAAGCTCTGTTTGGGGTGACTGTACACAATATGTAGGGTTGATAAAGTGCACACAGTGACTTCGGCAGGCCGAGCTATTACATCCTAACTAAAAAGTGAGAGCCAGGAGGAAGCACAGACTCCCTATTCCACCATCAACAAACCTGAGTGAGAGCGGTGAGATGACAGCATCAGCATCTCAGTTCATCATAATTCTCTTTGTCCAAAAACCTCCTGGTCTGCACCTTTAATTTAACACGAAAAATAATCACCAAAAGCTTGACTAAGCAAGAAGCCTAGACTTGAAATCTAACACTGTGTCTGAGCCCCGAACACTGACTGGAAGGTTATTCCAAAAGCTCTACCCTCTGCTGTAGCTAGATATAGATCAACTTCAGGACAAACCTGGAGGAAAAAACAGGTCCAAAATCTAATTTGCAGTGTAAAAGTGTTACAACCCAACGTTTTGTCTGGGCACTGTGGCATCAGTAACATATGGCACTAAAACGATGAACTGATGACGAACTGATGTATAAACGAGGATGAGGCACGAGGAACCGAACGATAGAGCTTTTGAAGCCATTTTACTGAAAACAGCTCTAACTGGAAAGAGTAGTATCCTAAATGGTGCAAAGGTAAAGGTGCCCCCTCTTACCTGTTTGAAACCCCAGGTACATATAATCAAGCAGCTCCTGTAAACTGAGTTGGGAGTGTGCGGGTGGGATTCACCCAACAAAAGAACCCCTACACAAGAAACTACGCGTCCTGTGACCAAAGTTTGGGAGTGTGCTGATAAATCTCCCAAACAAATCACACCAGAATATATGTGTTTTAATGATTCACAGAATTTTAACCCCTAAAGTCACTGTCAGAACTACAGGCCTTTAGCTTAACAAAACAGCTTCATGGTAATTCCCAAATAATTTATAGTAGTAATTATAATATAATTAATAACTTAATAACAAACGTTCGATTTAATGGGATAAAGTATTTATTACCTTTTTTTCCCATGCTTCTACATTTTGGGAAAGACAGAAGCATCACTGATGAGAAACTCATCTCTTATAAAGCACAACGTGCTATTTTAATGTGACAATTGCGCCCCCCTGTGGAGTGAGTGAGTTACAAGCCAGTCCTAATATCTAAAAAAAACTACATTTCAGGGAAACGCAAACCAATTTGTTTAAGCGGTAGTTTCATCCGTAGATTTACCTGTGGATTTAACTGTAGTAAAAATACTTAAGCTCAGCTCGTCTGTAAAACCATCCTTTTAAGTGCTTTTAATGCTTTTCTCAGACGGTTTAACTCATCCAGAGTCTCCTTTCCTGATACAGCAAGGCCTCCTTTATACACCATTCTGTCAATGAGGGAGTTACTCCACAGGCCTGGACAAATGCAACTATAATGCCTAATCCTATAAAGGACTGTCCAGGAGAGCCTGTCTTAAGATCTTACTTGACTTACTATGTGATGAAAGTCAGAAAAGATCATCAAAGAATCACTGTCAATAAGACCAGCTGAACAGGACGGTGGATGAGGCCAGCTTGCCATTTGGATACTGGATCAAACATCAAGAGGCTCCTAAATCACAAACTCACAAAGTGTCTTTGCTAGCTAGGTAGACAAAGCACTTCATATATATATATATATATATATATATATATATATAAATATATATATATATATATATATATATATATATATATATATATGTGTGTGTGTGTGTGTGTGTGTATGTATGTATGTATATATATGTATGTATATATATGAAGTGCTTTTCAGATACTGCTAGAAACAAAAGCCCATGTTGATACCTAGAGAAAAAGGAACAGAGTTAAACACAGCGCAATACATTTCAATGAGTGCAATACAGTACATTTCAATAAATACTTAACTCAGTGCTCACTTAAGTGCTGTAAAAACAGATGCGTCTTCAGTCTGTGTTTAAAGACTGTGTGAGAGTCTACTGTTCGGAGCCAGAAATTACTGGAAGGCCCAGAAGCTTCCCCATTTCTTAGATACATGCCTGGAGACAAAGACAAGAAATTGTTGAACCATCACTTCCGAAATGCAGCAATGGTGCCATCCAGTGGCTAAAAAGGGGCAAACATGGAGTACAACTAATACTGCCAGCTGAATTTTGAGCAAGAGAGACTGTCGTTGTGCTTTGAACAAGGGCAGTTGTTAGGCTTATCATAGCAGGCCACAGTGCTGGAGTGAATACTGATTCCCTGAACTGAGTGGCTGCAGGTTCCTTTCAGCTGAAGAACTGAGAAGCAAAACTGTCCACCAGTCTGAAGCTGACTAAGCCATTTTTAGGAGCAGCCTGTTAGAAAACTAACCCAGACTCCACACTGGTTCACATAATTTAATAAGGGTAAGAAATGTCGCCTTATTTGATTGAGATCAGTGTGCGCCGTATGAGAAAATGGCAATGTTAATATGCAGAGAAAGCAAGATAACGAAACTAAATAAAAAAAAGAGCAGCCTATCAAACACCATGGCTTTCCAGTGTGTTAGTACTGAGTAATTCACAGCCTACTTTGAGCTCTTTTTATGTAAATACAGTAGAAACTGATTATATTATTTGTGACAGTTATGGATAAATCTTGCACCCCTTTTTGATAATGTGCTATTACAGATAAACATGTAAAGCTGACAACAGTATTTGATTTGATTTTTTTCTCCTGCTTTTTGTTGAAATTGAACTTATCTTGTCATCTGGAATTCAAGGCCAAGAAACACAAAGCAAAGCCACAGAGTGAATGAATGAGCATTCGATTATGACGTACTAGTAGCGTCTTGACGTGGAACAACACCACCAAGTAAAACATTCTGAGAGGTCAAGATATTTACTTTTAAATCTTTTAAAGGGGAATCCCACCAAGTTTCAAAATTTCTGCATTATTAAATGATCATCTTTCTTTGAGTCATGGGTACACATTTGCTTATTTCTATATGTGGGGCCTAATAAAGATCTTAGGGGCCCTGTTACCACAATTGCCCCCCTGCCCCCTGGTAGTTACATCACTGGGTACAGGAACAAGGCGCAGGGTGGTGTAAGGCTAATTGGTCCGATTTTTCAGATTTATCACTACTTTACCATCATCAGCGTTCCATATACTCAGAAGACCCATGTAGGTTCACTGTTGGTTTTAGATAGTAAATAAAATGGCTATATTAGTGTTGTAGACAGTGTGACCCCTGGTGCCCATCACCACTACACTGTTAGAAATAAAGGTTCTGTGCAGGTAAGTTTTTCATTCAAGGTACAAACTATGTAAATGTACCTCAAGGGTACAACAGTGGTTTTAAGTTCCAGTTGTGAACCTTAAATAAGTTTTTCCAGGTGAAAAGTATAGATTGGTCCCTTTTCATTTTCTAAAGTTTTAAAATAGAACAATAAAATAAAGAGCTTGGAGTCGAGACGGGGTGTGTGGAGTCAATACAACTTGGAAAATACGATTTCAGTGGATTATGATACAGTTATGTTCCCTGACTAAAGGTACTGAGATGTACCCTTGAGGGTACCATCACAGTTACAAGAGGGGCACTGCCCCAGTGACAGGTTCATACCTTTTTTCTGAGTGTACTGTCTACTGAGTCTCTACCATCAGCCGTGTCATACCAAACCACTCTGACTCTTTTTCTCAATGACCAAAATATAAAGAAATTGAGATTATCCTTTAAAAAAATTAGTATATGTCAGACAGTCTGCGTGGTGAGCAAAAACCACAGGCGGCGGAAGAAAAACTTGCTTGAAAAGGCCCCTTGAGGAAAAGTAGTTACAGTAATTTTAAATCTTTCAATACGCTGCCTTACAAAGACATTACAACATTACATGGTTTCATATTCAACAAAAACACACAAGTCAAGCGCAGAAAAAAGACTTTATTCCCAAGCATGAACTGTTATGACCTCAGAATCCACTGCACATCTTACAGCATCTCCATAGGGTTATTTTAGGTCCTATAAATCATATCAAGCAGAGAATTAAAGGTGGATTAAACAGGGGAGTCGCATTCAGTTCCTCATAGAAATCTGCAAGGATATTTTTCCAAACCTCCAAAGTACAGTCTTAGAAGTTGGTTGCATTTTCTGATTCTCACAGTCCAAATAATCTCAAACACATTCAGTGAGGCTGAGGTCTGAACTCTGAGGTAGAGCTTGATTTTCTCCTCTCTCTCTCAAAGAAGCTTTAAGTGCTTTTTTTTTTTCTTCGATGGGACAGTTTTAGTGTCTACAAGGTCTTGCACAGTTGTCAGAAGCCTCATTTTCTCTCTCACTTTTTGGAAACTCCTTTCTTTGATTTTCTGCTGCCTTATGCAAGTAGATTAACTAATATGTAATCTTCTCAGAATATCTCGCAAAAAATAAATAGCTTGTGCTTAGCAGCCATTTTTGACTGGAAGTTAAATAAATTAAGGGTGGTCTTTGGCTTTTGCACAGTCTGTTTAGTAATTTTTCTGTTACAACACCTCATCTATCAACTCAAAGCCATCATGAGTTGAGATGTGTGATAAAGCAGAGAAAAAGATGAGGAAAGAGAAGCCCTGCCATCAGACGAAGTCAAATTAGACAGTCTATCTACTGTGTCCGAGCTAAATGGATCTTTTACCCCTTAACATTCACCTCTGTTACTCAGTCCGATAGTTTAATGCAATCATTTTGTATTGTTTTCCATGTAATAAGCCTTAAGTCAGTGTTAATGGGTAAAAAAGCCTCCTGACTTGACTTGAAGTAGTGAGTGCATAGAATATTTAACAAAATATTAGATTTAAGTATGCACACACACACGCACACGTTCTAAACCGCTTATCCTTCTGGGTCATAGGGGTCCTGGAGCCTATCCCAGTGGTCACTGCGCAGAAAGCAGGATACACCCTGCAGACAGACAGACGTATACATCCACATTCACAATCAGGGGCAGTTCAGCGTGTCCAATTGACCTGACTGCATGTCTTTGGACTGTGGGAGGAAACCGCAGCACCTGGAGGAAACCCACACGGACATGGGGGAGAACATGCAAACTCCACCCACAAAGGACCCTGGTCGCCAGGCCGGGGAACCGAACCCAGGCTGATTCAAGTACGCAATATGTGCTAAACTCTTAGGTCACAGAAGAAAATGAGCTACAGCATTATAAGGTAAATCAGAGAATGGAACAGAAAGCTGGAGGTGGAGGTAAAGACACACTCATATCAACTGGTACAGTGACAGAATAAATTATGTGTCCAAAAGTATCCAGACAGCCCGTGAATTTAGATACAGAGACAACCCCCTATGAATACCCTTGATTTCAGAAGAAGCACTGAATGAGCAGGCGTCTACAAACTTTTGGACGTGCAGTATAGCTAGTTTTCCTAAAGCTACTGATTGGTTCAGGAAAACACCAGGAAAAAAAAACCATCAATAAAAGTAACCATTTTTTCCAGGGGGAATGTAACAAACAGGTTTCTGTAAACAGGGGGCTTCTGAGTGGGCTCGAATTGCTAAGAATGCCAGCAAAAGTTTTTAGAAGTGGATAAAAAAAAAAAAAAAGTTTTAATTATGCCATGAACAAAAACAGTGCAATTAAATTTAAAGAAAACGGGACAGGGGACCGAATGAAAACAAAAAAAGTAAGGCACGATCTAAAGATTAACATGTAGGCCAGCTGTGCTGACTGTATATGACTGATTACTGGTCCTTGTCCGTCTTGTAGATGGAAAGGGTTCTCGCAGAAGGGTCAGTAGCTTTGATCCAGCGGGGCATCCAGTAATGGGGGATCCAGCCAGAGCGGCCGGGGTAATGCTTCTCAAACAACTGCCGGTAATAGAAGCCTTCTTTGGTAGTGGGGGTGTTATGAGGGTACAGCTTGGGTGCTTTCTCCAACTGAGAGTCGTTAACCTGTAGAACAGAGAGCAAAGAGACAAGTGAGAAAGGGCCAGAAAGAGAAGTAACATTCCTCCAAAACTGAATTTTCTTCTTTTGACAGGAAGGATGATGAAGTCGGATGCCTAAACATCAAGGGATCCATCTAGCTTGCATAACCTGTGAAACAATAAATCAGACTCAAATTCTGTGCTTTTCCCCAGTAAGGGAAAAATAGCAATGCACATGAACTCAATATGGCATGTATTGATGTCCGTTTAATTTAAACAGATATGGATGAAAATCAAACATTTATTTGGATCATTCTTTTTGCTTTCTTTTGCTCTGAGCGACTCTATACCTTAATTATATTTAATCTACCGAAATAAATGATTGAACATTCCATTTTATCACTAACAAAACAATCAGAACACTACAGAAACTTTATCAAATGTTTCAGCAGTGACTGTTTCAGCTCATTTAAAGCAGAACCCAAAACGCTAGCCAGAACATGACTAGCAAACACAGCTTTGAACAACTGCACACACATAAAATCATAATTTTCATTACTACACAAAAACATTTACTCAATTGCAGAAAATATATTTCACACTGATCTTCAGAATTTGGGACACATTTATATCAAAACAATGGGATCTAAATGTGGCCATGAGGGACAAGGATGCAGCCTCACTTCCTGCTTTAAAATGCAGAGGGAGTGTGGCTAAAATAAGACTCTGCCAATGTACTAAAACTCTGTTTCGGTAGTGACATGAAAATCTGAGACAGCATTTAAAAACTTAAGTCATGATCAATCTAAATCTTTCAACTTGAAAAGAAATCAAAAGTACTTAATTTAGTATTTGTTTTTTTTCCCCACAAGTGTAAATTTAGGGAATAGGGTTTATGACAGACACTTCCCAATAGAAAGAAATCTCAATGAATGCCTTGTGTTTAAATAGATCATGACAATTCCTTGTACATAGTTTTCATTTTGAATAGTTCTCTCTCTTTTATTGACTCTTTTATAAGACTTAACAAGACTTTTTAAGTATCAGTGGTAATCCTGTTATATTTTAATTTCTAAATACACTAAATTTGCTGTTTAAGTAAGAAGTAAGTTTGAGATAGGCAGTTATGAGGCCTGCTGGCTGGCTAGTCAGCTATACATCAGGCCGCTTAAGAACAACAAAGAAACAAATAAACAAACAAAATCAGCATCATGAAATTCACTTCAAACGACAGAAGCACTGCTCGATCCATAAGAAGACAGTTAGCTAGTTAGCCATCTAGAGGTTAGCTGTAGAACCTATATCCAAGTCTCTCTTAACCTCAGAGGTCCTGCTCTCTGTATCTTAAATCACAATAACCAGCAATAAAGAAATAGAAAAAACACTACTAGATCTGAGAGTCTGCAAGTGTCTGTTGCGTATGTGTGTATGTACCTCAGACTCAGTGTGATCCTGCAGGATCGCGTACCAGGACTTCTTTGTGGACGTCATACCGTCACTGAAAGCCTCTTTGGGTCTCCACAGTATCTCATCCGGAATCAGGTTCAGCCCCTTAAACGAGTCCCTAAGAAGATACTTCTCCACCCCATCCTGTTTTCATAAAGCTTGTTAATTTTTAGTATACAAAGCTTGTTTAGAGAACATGTTAAATATAGAAATCTACATTTATCTTCATCACCTGTCACAATAAACAGGTTTAACCACTTAAACTGCAGGTGTATTATTCAGTTATTGATCTCAGGACTATCTGCTGTGAATTATTCATGCAAGTTCCACCGTTATAAGAGTGAAGAATCAAAGTGAGGCGCCACAACAGTGTTTAAACAGGAATGTGTGCTATATAACATGCAGCATCTACTGATAACAAAAAAATCACGAGTAAGTCAAGCAAGTTCTCAGCCACAGTTCAAAAGACTGCTTTATAAGTCTGGTTTTGGAACATCATAACATTAAAGTCTAGTGTGAGTTCACCTCCTGGAGTTTGTTGCTGTTTAACTGTAATTACATAATTATATGATAAATCACAGAATTATGTAAGGAATACCATCTACATTCGACTGATATTCTGTACTGACAGAGTCCAAACATATGGATTGAAAGCTAAGAAACATTTCTGTTTTAATGAGTAACAAGTGTCAAACTTAGGAGCAACACGCTTTTGTTATTGCGTTTACATTTATGGCATTTGTCAGACACTCTTATCCAGAGTGGATCATTTTACGCAGGAAGGCGAAAGTAGTGTTAGGAGTCTTGCCCAAGGACTGGAGGTATAGTGTAGGGTGTTTGCCCAAGTGGGTGATCAAACCCCAGTCTACAGCATCGAAGGCAGACGTGTCACCCACTACACTATATCAACCACCATATTGCCAGTGATGAATGCAACTTTTAAAGATTAACAAGGCTGTTAATTTCACCTTGGGCACCCTCATCTCCGGAGGCAGGGACAGATAGTAGCTAGAGAACCTGTGGTCCAGGAAAGGCACTCTCAGCTCCAATCTAAAGAGAAGAGATTGGAGAGAAAAAGGAATTAATATAGAGAAGGGAGGCACAATTTTTGACCAAAAATATTAAACCACAACAGGGCCTACAAGGAAGAGAGGAAATCTAAGACTTTACAAATAATTAACAAAAATATGAAATAATGATAAACGTTTTCTTTGCTGTCCTGTGGTGGTCAACACAGACATATTCAAACAGTTTAATGCTGGTTGCGTGGTTTCCATGGGGACGTTAAACACGTTTTATAATCACTGTTCTCCAGTATCAGAAGCAGATACCACACTCGAGAACTTCTCTCCAGGTTTGATACCAACTGAGAACAAGATGTCCTGCTTGATATGCAGAATACAGCAAAACAACAGAAGCAGAAAGTTCCTGTGAGCACATCAACGCCATTTGTAGCCTTTTAAAAATGAACAGCAATGACAGCCAAAGTGTAAAGTCCAAGTAAAATTAATGGAATGTATTTCCTTGGATGGGCTTTGTGTCACAAATTGTAGCCTTAGGCACTGAAATCGTTATGTTTATTTTTTGTTTACTGTTTTTTATTGATTGTTCTTTTGGTTTTTGATTTTTGAGTCCTGAATTTCGGTTTCTGTTTTGGTGAAGAAATTTTGTTGCAATGCATTATTAGCAGAGTGCTATACAGAAAGAACATAAAAAAGAGAACGACTATACAATGACTATTTCAAACAGGAAGGTGTGTAATTATTTATATGAGATTATAGTAAGTAAGTAAGTAAGTAAGTAAGTAAAGTTTATTTATATAGCGCTTTTTACAACAGGTGTTGTCACAAAGCAGCTTTACAAGGAAATCAGCATTACAGAAAGAAATCCGGGTCCAAGCCCCCATGAGCAAGCCAGTGGCGACAGTGAAGAGAAACACGAAGAAACCTTGAGAGGAACCAGGACTCAGAAGGGGAACCCATCCTCCTCTGGTCGACACCGGATAGTAAATATTGTTAGTACAAAAACAGGGAAAACAGGTGGAGCAATGATTAATTAAACAGAGAATCATGTAGATTTTGCAGGTGTCGGTGCTTCATATGGAGAAGCGGAGGTTCTTCCTGACCCGTGTGCGGCTGTTGTCCTGTCTGCTCTCAGTACATCGAACATGTACAACTCCTTCATCAGACGCACACTGTCCTCCGCAGCGGCCTTCGGAGTCGGAGCCTGGATCAATCAACACAGCGTCAATCTTTCACAGCACCAGAGGCAACAATCAGATACTCAGACACATTCACGCACTACAGTATGCAAACGTGTGTGCGCCCCTGCTCAAATGAAGTTTTGTTGAGTTCTAAGAGATAATGGGTTGACACAGCCTCTACAGAGAACACATCCATCCATCCATCATCTAAACCGCTTATCCTTCTGGGTCGCGGTGGGGTGCTGGAGCCTATCCCAGCTGTCATTGGGCGGAAGGCAGGATACACCCTGGACAGGTCACCAGTCCATCGCAGGGCAGACAGAGAACACACTTTTGCACATTTTATTGCACAGTTACTGTTTATTTGCTGGATTTAACATATTAGCAAAAATTAATAAAACATAAAATGTGGCCTGTGCAAAACCTATAGTGCGTTTAATATTTTATTTTTATTTTTCCAATATGTTAAATTTAGCAAATAAATAGAAACTGTGCACCAAAATGAGAAATTGCAGATGAACACCATATTTAAGTTGGTCCCTGTAGAGCAGGCATGTCAAACTGGAGACCTTCTGGGCCAAAGTGCTGTCAGCCTTTACCCTTATCTAATACTCTGAATTCAGTTCATGAAGGCCTTGCTAATTAGCTGATGAGCTGAATCAGGTGTGTTTAATCAGGCAGTGTGCGGAAGTCTGCAGTATTTTGACCCTTGAGGACTGGAGCCTGACACGTGTGCTGTAGAGAACGTGTCAACTTATTTTCAATTAGAAAATCAACAAATCATGTAATTCAACCAGGAACTGCATTTATCACTGATGCATGTTTCCCTACGGTGACATAAAAAGAACAGATGAAGACAAGTAACTATTGAATAACGATTAAATCAGCTGGATTGTAAACTACTCAAATATTGGCAAGCACTGATCATCTTTACCTTATGGAAGTAGATGTAGCCCTGTGTGAGTTCATCAGATCCTTCGCCAGAGAAGATCACCACACTGTCCGTCTTCTCACGAATAAACTTGGATACCAGGTACATGCCTGGAAACAAAGACAAAATAAAAAGACCCTCATAAACCATTGAACTGTCACTTTCTACATGAGGCAATGGTGCCCTCTAGTGGCTAAAAAGGACTAGAGATATTACAATGAACGAAAGTCAAATAAGTACCGCATTTTCCTTCTTGTTGAATTATTTTCATGATAATGCATATTTTAGATTCTCCCTTTTAGAGCGTGATGGACACATTTATATGTATGTCTGCCATATAGTATTATACATCCAGCATTCATTCCATTCTTCAGAATTAAGGCTTTTCTATAACGCTAGGCTCGTTATTTGAAGCTGCACTGAAACAGAGCAGCATTACAGTAAAGACTGCTCATGACCGTAGCAAAACTAACAAGCAAAGTCACAGTTCAGTCATTTACTGCATTAAGTTGGGGTCCTAATGTAATTTAATGAGTTTTGTTTGTGCTTTTTTTCATAAATAGTCATAACTCTCGTGTCCAAATTGAGTTGCAAGTCATTTAAGGCAAAGTCTGAGCTGAGTCATGAGTCAGTCGAGTTGCTGACTCGAATTCCCAACTCCACTGGTCAAAGTTCATATGCCAAAATAAGATCACAGCACCGGGTGGAAACACAATTAACTCAAGTAGGTACTTATAGTTGAAGATAAATAAATGAAACACACGTAAACAGTGAGTGGTTGCAGCGGCTGCCTAAGGGAGTGTTGTTTTGTACTTTTGCCGTTGTTTCTATTAATAATATCGTGGAGTATTTTTTTTAATAGGATCCAATATCTTGCGTCTAATTTCCAAAATACTTTATAGCTTATTATACAACAGTTAGTTCCGGCCATGCAAGCTGATTGGTTGAGAGGCATTCCAACTGTGCTGCTATTTCACCATAACATCACAGGTTTTTCAAAAACACTATCACTCCACTGAGACGCCGTTGCTAAGCAACGACTTTGACGGCTGTAGGAGATGCTCAAGACATTTGAACGTTTTTATTACTTACTTTACTCTGATGTAGCAACAAACTGCTTGTTAAGGAACTATAATTTGGCGGAATGAAGTGCCAACATTAAAACATGTTAAACGCCATGTTCACGGCACAATTTATTAATTTCTTACTTTATTTATTTAACTGTAAGCAACAGACTAACACTCGTGTGTTATCGCGAATAACACACTCCCTCTCATGTTCTATTGCTTCAGCATCTGATTGTGTTTGATTCATGGCTTTTGTGTTTTACCAACGTTAGCAAATGCATTAGACTTTAAATGCGTTAGTTTTAGTGTAGGATCTGGACTAGGGCAAAAGTAAGCCAGCCCTGGCACCAGACAGAGTAAAGCCCCCCTAAAATGGGTAGCTTTAATTTCCTTTCAGCTAAAGAACTGATGCGCAAAATCTATCCAGTGTTTGAGCGCCGACTAAGCAGTTTTAAGAGCAGCCTTTGGAAAAGCCATTCGCTCTGATGTCAATGAATTTACGGTGGTTGATTTAATCTAATCAGGGGAAAAAGGAATGTCACCTAGCCAGACTCATCTGGTCACAACCATTGTGCAAAGTGAAAGAGAAAACGGTAACGTAGCACGTAGAACCCAACAGGTGTGTCAAGGTCTATCGCTATGGCCTCACACTTTGTCAGCACAGAGTAATTCAGTTTCTATTCTGGGGTCTTTGCACATTGCCTGTCAAACATTTGGGGACACCTTCTGTCTGAAAATGTTTTATGAATCAGCATGCTTTATTTGTTGGTTCGTTAAAGGATGCATCGATATTTTGGGACTAATATTTAACACTTTATTTTAATTATTTTGTATTTTTTGTGCTTTTTAAGCCTTTCATGAAACAAAACATATCCAGGTGTTGGGTACATTTTTATATTTTGGATAGGGTTCTCATTTCCTTTGAAGAAATAACATTACCCTGAAGTGGACATTTGTCTGTTCTATCACACAAGACCAAAAAATCTTGCACACGCCTAAAATATATAGTGACAGACGTCTTTTTTGTATTTGGAGAGGTTATGGACACTTTGTAGATGCCTTGTAGACACCTGGTGGAAAATGCTGTGTAGCTCCTGAATACTTCTATGGGTCTGCTCCAGATTTTGTACTCTTACAAGGCCCTGCTGAACCAAGAAATGTAGAACATACCTGATTTTTTTTATACACACATTGTGAACCCCCAAAATGAAAGGCGTTTCTTGTTTTTTTGACATTTTCTTCTGTATTTGATGTTCTCAAATGGAACCTAAATGATGGAAATAAAAGCCTGGAGGTGAATGAACGTCTTGGCCCAAATGTCTACTTCAGTGTAAGCCCTGAATGATCATTGTGCTATTTGTACAACTTAAGATAACTAGTGTCATAGTGTAGAAGTACAAATCACTTGAAAATGAGCTAATACTTAGATCTGCATATAGGGGTTCAAATGCCAAAGATGTGTTATTAGATATCAGCTGTAATTCCAGTATTGGGACTGAGTAATATTCAGTGGTGGACAGTAACGAAGTAAATGTAATTCGTTACTGTACTTAGTTTTTTTTATGTATCTGTACTTTACTGAAGTATTTCTATTTTGGGCGACTTTTTACTTTCACTCCACTACATTTCAAAGTCAAATATCTCACTTTTTACTCCACTACATTATGAGAAATCTGTCGTTCCTTTTGGCTTATGTGTGTATAAAAAGGTAACATGTCAAAATGAAAGAAGTGCAAAGCAAGAACACCAATCAGGGTATCATGTTTCTTTTTTCTCAATTTATACAAACACTTTCATTTATTAGTAAATTTGTTTTAGCTAGTTTATGTTTATGAACATACAGATGCAGTTTAGTAAAGGAAACTCATTTGTGAACCTGAGTTTAAAGCAAGTTTTTATTAAACAAACTTGTAACTAAGTTGCAAATAAATCTTAAACCGAAACTTTGCTTGTTTGTAGAAAGTGATTTCAGAGCCACTCAGTTCTACCTAATGGAAACAGTTTGCCTTCAGTGTTTTGTGCTTATGATAATTTTAATAGATCAGCGTCACTAATTAACAACATTCTATTAAAAGACTGGTTTACCAAGAGTGACACTGGAGTATTTACACCTAAAATGAGTTAATGAAGCGAGTCTTGTTACAAAAATGATAATAGGACATTAGAGTCATAATTAATCTTTTAGTACTTTTACTTTTGAATTTATACAAACAATATTTCATTTTATAGTAAATTTGTTTTTAATAGTTTGTGTTTGTGAACAGAGACCTACAGATGCAATATAGTAAAGTAACTTAATGCAACTTAGTTACAAGTTTAAGTTATTTAAGCATTTAGTACTTTTACTTTCAATACTTAAGTACATTTGAAGGCAAATACTTTTGTACTTTTACTCAAGTGGAGGTCTAAAGGGAGGAACTTCTACTTTTACTGGAGTAATATTTTACCTTGGGTCTCTCTACTTTAACTCAAGTACATGGTTTGTGTACTTCGTCCACCACTGGTAATATTTAAATATTACCTTTTATCTGCAAACCAACAGTAACAGTGGCCTGTGCTCACCAACAGAAGCGCGCACTGTGGTAATGTCATAACTCTCCAGGTGAACGATGACCTCCTCTAGAGCCTTGATGCCCTCCTCTGGGGTGAAATTCACTTCGTGGTGTTCGCTGCCTATGTGGGCTGCTACCTACAGAAGAACAACAACATTCAGAACAGACAGATCTAAAGTCCTGCTGGTGTCACTGTAACAGTGTCACTGTGACTGATAGTCAGTCAGGATAGGCATGAATGTTTTCTCTTGTGATTAAATTCCAGTGACCTTGCGTGCAGCGATAGCATCTGGACTGTCTTCTGCCCCGATCGAAAATGTCTGAATGGGGTACTTCAAATTCTCCTCCTTGGCCAGCTTAACAAGTGTGGCTGCAACCAGGCTAGAGTCAAGTCCACCTACATAGTGGGAGAGTTTAGTTAGCATAAATTTCATTTATTTCTGTTTACTAGTTTTTTTTATTTTACTCGTTTTTCTTCTTGCTGTTTGTATTTCGGCAAGTTTTGACCACCATTGAGCTTCACACTGTACAATGCTGTGCAAACCCCACCTTCATGAACTTGATGAGAAAGATTATCTAACATTATTATTATTATTATTATTATTATTAATTGTCTTTACAATCATATCTATAAAAATAAAAGAGCTTGTTCAAGAGAAATATAAGACAATGTCAAAAATGAATGGCAGTACCTGAGAGGAGGCATCCGATTCTCCTGTGGGCCATCAGACGTTTCTTCACTGCGTTTTCAAACAGGATCCTGATGTTGGCCTTCACTGTCTCCAGTTCAAAGTCTACATGAGCATACCAACAAACACAAACTGCACTGAGCACATTTCTGCACTGCATGCTAAATTAGCAGGGTGGAATGCAGGTAGAGCTGGAAATCTTTATCTGACTTTACCTGGCTTTTCACGTTGGGGTTTGTTTGAGGTCAGGCATTATGTTGGACTCGGTTCAGGTTCAAATTTAACGTTCAGGTCTCTCACAGCCCTTTCCTTCCTCTTTTAATGCAATTATTGATGATCAGCTGAACAGCTGTCACTGTAACTAGGAAAACCTAACAGGCGCTGTCAATAGGCAGGTGGAGTTTCAATAGGTCTCCAGTGGGTTCGCAGAGATTTTTTTTAAGTCTACAGTGAAGTTCAGATTCAGAACATCAGGTTCGGGCAGAATCTTGATGGACCATATTCAACTCCCCATCCTGTGTGGTCTGATGCTGTTGCTTCTTCTGCCTTGATCGGGTGCCCACTGCTTGCCAGCCTTCTGAACCATTTTGACCACCATTGAGCTTCACACTGTACAACGCTGTGCAAACCTCACCTTCATGAACTGACCCTCCTGACGATGCTGCTGCTGCATAAACTATCTAATTAACCATTGCTCCACCTGTTCTTCCCTTTTTTTTGTATTCTAATATTTTATACTAAAGCTGTTTGCTATCCGGTGTCGACCAGAGGAGGACGGGTTCCCCTTTTGAGTCTTGGTTCCTCTCAAGGTTTCTTCCTCTTGCTCTTAGGGATTTTTCCCTGCCACTGTTTGGCGACACTCATGGGGGCTCGGACCCGGATTTTTCTGTAAAGGTGCTTTGTGACAACACCAGTTGTAAAAAGCACTATTTAATATATTTGCTTTTGGTACCAGCTACTTAGTTTTCCTCTGCAGATATCGTACCCCCTAAATGTAGCTGGTCGTCTTAGCGACACCAAATGAAACTGCCAAGATGTGAAGGACACAACTTTTGTTCAGAAGAGGCTGACAGCAACAAGACAAAAAACGTCAGAGTTCAGATGAAGAGACGATTCTGGTTCCTCAAAAAAGGTGACACAAAAGGCTACGCTAACCTGGTAGCTAACATTAGCGTATGTGCTTAGCGATTCTCTCCGACCAATCAGCAGTATGTAGCGTTTTTACGGCACCGTTTGGTATTGGCTCAGCTTGTTTGAAACCTCAACGGACATGGTACTGAAAATATTGCCCGGTACCAGGTCCCAGATTTGTCTAGTGAAAAATCAGTTGAGTCGAGGATCAGGTATTGGTATCAGAAGGGAAAAAGTGGTATCAGTGCGTGCACACACACACACACACACACACACACACACACACACACACACATATTTATACCAACACCTGATCCTTGATTATAGGCTGATACAGAGCACCAATACTGATACTAAGTCCATCTAACCTAACTAGCTGATATTTAGACAATTCCTCTTTTACATTTTTTTTTTTTGGGAAAAGCTGTGTTCTACGTGACTAATAAAACATATTGAGCTTGAATGTTGAAAATATGGCATTGACTTGTTGGGATATAAAATCCAACGATTAGCTTAACACTAACCTATTTTGAAACTAAGAACCATATTTAACAAGTAAATTAAATGTAAAATATTTATTAACAGGTCAAACGATAAACTTGTGGTCTGTACATGTACCAGCTTCTCTGGCTTAGCAAAAACAGTGCTGCACGTTGTTTCATATCCGAAGTCATTCATCTCATACGAGCGTCCGGTTCACACGCGCTTACATCTCTGAGCGTCAGACTCCGTAAATATTACTAAACCGTTGAGCCGCAGATTTCTCAGCTTTCACAGCTATGTTGATGTCAGTGATACGCCTCCACTGCGAGACGAAGCTGACCAATGGAGGCGCACTGCAGGCCTGGCTAGCAGACTAAAGGCTAAACCAAGGCTAAAGGCTATCATTACCTCAAGAGACCGGTGGGTACTTCTGTATGTCGCCCTCAGCAATAACCTGGACTAACAGTAACTCACTGTAACTGACTACACAGTGATTAGCGAAAGAAGCCTGGCTCTGCCGTTGAGGTCAGAGTTCCTGTAGCGTGTTTTACACTGTTTGTACGCTGCGTTATGTGGTGTATTTGTGACATACTGATGGAACCAATAGCTTAGCAAGAATTCCAACTGAATACCCACGACTACTGACTTTCCATGAAGTACTGGCATTACAGATTTTGCCATGAGCATTTTTCCTGTTGCTTGTCAACCCACACCTCTGTTAAGTTCCGTCTACTAGCATGTGCATCAGAAATTGCTTCGTGGTAGTGGTCAAAGGTATTGATATCACCATTGTATTGATATCAATATAGTATTGGTATCAGTGCAACTCCACTTATTTAAAGTTTTAGTATACGGTTACTGACCGATTTCTCCTTATAATAATATAATAGTTATTATGCCATTGTTATAACTAGCATTCACAAGGATCTATATAAATACTCAAGTTGGAAAAGATAATTTTTAGATCAGTGGTTCTCAGTCATGGTCCTGGAGTACTGCTGCCCTGCATATTATAGAGTTGGCCCTTCTCCCAAAACACCTGATGCAATTTACTGAACTAATTAATAAGCCATTCCTCAGGTCAGCTGGGTGTGGCAGGGCAGGAAAAACACTGAAACATGCGTGGTTAGTGGTACTCTAAGACCAGGATTGGGAGCCACTGGTTTACACCATCTGTAATGCTGCATCATGTGTGACGTATGACTATCAGGTGTCTACCTTTTCCGAGCTCCCCAGCGTTGTCATGAACAGCATGTTTGGGCTCGTCTGTGCAGCAATGAAAACGGTCCAGCTTGACAGACTTCACCTTTCCGGACAGCTCCAGGTCAAAGATCTCGAAGTGGCCGGGCGGGAACGGGATGATCTTCACCGGTTCAGACATGGAATGTGTGATCTCTGTTAGACCTGAGGCCAGAGAGAGAGGGGGCAGATTCCCACACAATATGAATCAGACTGACTCATCTGTCTGAGACCAAATGAAATGTTCTGAAAAGAAATCTGCTTCTAAAAGATGATCTAAAATCTAGACGTGTCTTCTGATTTTTTTTATATGTAATGCTGATGATTGTAAAATAGTGGTAAACCTAAAAAAGATCTCTTTTGGTACTAATTTTGCCTGCATGTGCCCATCTACTATAATTGAGTATTAAAAATCATTTTAGACCAAAAGCTTCTCAAAACTATCATAAAACAATGTCTTAGACAACAGGCAGTGCATTCATAACAATCTCATGTCATAACTTTTTGCAAGGGAGCTTTTGTAGGCACTAAACTCTTAGACATCAAAGGGCTCCCGAGTGGTGCAACCATCTAAGCGTTGGCCCTATCATCATGAGATCGCAAGTTCCATCCTGGTGATGCTACAGCCGTCCATAGCCGGGAGTCCAAGAGATTGGCCTCGCTCTCTCTGGGTGGGTAGGATGGCCCCTCCTTCTCCCCATCACTCAACGCGATGCTAGTCAGCGCAGGCATCTGTTAGCTGATGTAACAGATCTGGCGGTTGGTGCTTTCCTCCGAGTGCGTTCGGCTGTCCAATGACGTTGCGTGAGCGGCAGTTCGAAAAGAAGCGGTGGTTGGCCTCACAGGTCTCGGAGGAAGCCTGTGTTAGCCTTCACCCTCCTAGCGTTGATAGTATCGTGTGATTGAGGGAGTCCTAAATAGCGGGTGGAATTGGGGAGAAAATTGGGTAAACCTTACCCCCCTCCCACCCCCGAAAAAAAACTCTTAGACATCTGGTTCCTATCACCATCACTGTGAACAATTATGACTCATTTCCAATCTAACCACTCTGAATGGTTACATCTTCACAACTTGTTTGTTTGAATTTAATGGAATCCCTCTTTAAAGCCATCCCAGATCCTGAAATCTTACCTTTGGCCTCTGAGCAGACAGCGAGGAAGCCGTCATCGGTCAGCAGCTTGAACATGGGCCTCACACCGTACGTGTCCCTCCCTAGGAAAACTTTCCTATTGGCTGTGTCCAGCAGGATGAAGGCAAACACACCATCCAGCAGAGTGGCCATCTTCTCGACGCCGAAGCGATCGTACAGGTGAAGCAGGATCTCTCCATCCATTTTGGTTTGGTAGTCAAAATGGTAATAATCCCTCAACTTCAGGTGGAAGGGAGCACAACGTTAGAACAAAAACACAACCAACAATCTTAAAGACAGAACTTATAATAAGTCTCATGTTTCCATTACAATCTCATAAAACGATGGCATAACAAACATGCTTGCCAATCCTCCCTATTCCCCCAATGAATGAATGAATGAATGAATGAATGAAATTAACCTTTTAGCCAACTGTGTCTGAACACATCGGAATTAGACCTCCGCATTTAACCCATCCGTGCAGTGAAACACCACATACACACTAGTGAACACACACACACACACTAGGGGGCAGTGAGCACACTTGCCCGGAGCCGTGGGCAGCCCTATCCACAGCACCCAGGGAGCAGTTGGGGGTTAGGTGCCTTGCTCAAGGGCACTTCAGTCACGTACTGTCAGCTGAGAGAATTGAACCAGTGACCTTCTGGTCACAAGGCTGGTTCCCTAACCTCCAGCCCACGACTGACCCTATAACAGGAGAGTTGATGCTCATTGCTCTCAATCAAAATCACAAAGCAAGTTCAATGCACTTAAGTGTTCTTAATGAAATTTTGGTCTAGGTTTGGATGGGAACATAGGCCCAATCCCATTTCACCCCTCGCCCTTACCCCTGTTTTGCGCATTCACACCTAGGGGTTTTCTGTTGATTTCTGACCAGATAGAGGGGGAGGGCGAAGTGTTAGGGCTACATGGCCCTCCATGGCTCACTCCAAACAGTGTTGTGAGAAAAAAAGAAAAAACGGCTGTGTCATATTGAACAAATTTTCAATTTTGTGAATCGTTACACCTCTAATATAGTCATATTGCCCACCCCTACATAATGTGACACTGTTTTTAAATGTGATATATCTGATAGATAATGAGCAGTGAGTCTCGTGAGCTAGACATCTACCTATCGGCAGAGGGTCTTGTGCTTTTCACCGCAAAACACTGTCAAGAACCAGCTACCTTCTCACGACTATATATCATCAGTAGCCGAACAAATGAAAAAATAAACAATTAAAATCAAAGTTTCTGGCTCCATCTTTAAAGAACTTTACAATAACTTGGCAAGAGCGGTGTTTCGTGGTGCAGCGGTAAAGGCAGGAACAGCGGTGCTGTGACGCAAACAGAAAATCCGCTGTAGAGCAGACCGTCTCATTTCGGTCCAGCCTTCGCGGGTCTAAGCAGCCTTCGAAGGACACACCTTCGTAGACCGTGTCCTTCTAACGATCCAGCCCCTGAATTGGGACGCGCTGTACTACTGACGTAGACTAGACTACACTAGAACTAGAATCGATAAAACTTTCAAACAAATGAAAAAAGTGCTGCAGGGAAGTATGTTTACACAGACAGCCAATCAGAATGCAGCTGACAAAATCCTAATAGGTGCAAAAGATGTCAGATGCTCCATTTCCATGTGGGCTGAGACTAATGAGCAATATATCCATGCCCATAAAGCAGCAGTGTCACCCTCGCCCACTTATTAGTTTTTATTTATTTAGTTTATTTTAATTTTGTGTACTTCACTTTCACTTTACCAGCAGCAGACAGTTGATTGCAAGATACTGATCATTTACTGGGTGCTGCATACTGATTTAAAAGAACTGTTCAAAATATCTAAAAACTAAAAAAGTGACTAAGTAGGTTTTCTTCCGGGAAGCGTGGTTTCTGTCTGATTAACATTTACAATACTGTAAGCTTCCCTTTGAACGGAACAGTCCAATCACAGCAAGCTATTCTGGGTTCTGTTATAGATAAAGTTCATTCACTTTAGTAATGAAAACTTAACATCTGATACCGTGACACTGCGATATATTTGGAACATACAGTGATACTGAATTTCACCCACCATTAATCTCAATTTCAAAATGCCCCGTCAACAGACATCGGTGCAGAACGCCTGGTACCGAAACCAGAGACCTGCCAATGTTCTCATTAAGGGCACCTCAAACTGACATTGTTTGGAAAATCACCCACTTTCTAAGGTCTCATGGTTGAAAAGTATGAACAGAAATACTACTTAAACAGCCAACTTTGACAGCTTGTTCTGGTTCATGGTGAATAGCAAACCTATGAGCCAGTTAACTGGATAGGGAAGCCAATAGAATGCATTGGGATCTCCTGAAAGACATTAGATCAATGAAACCTATCATGCAGATTTAAAGTGGTCAACAGCAACTCGTACCCGTTTGTGGTTGTAGATCTCGCCGTTGTAGCAGAGCCAGAGGTAAGGGAACTTCTTCACTCGCAGGGGCTGCATGCCATACAGCTGGTCCACAATGGCCAAACGGTGGAAACCGAAGCAGCAGCTGGTGAAACCGTTGACGTTCTCGAAGCGGAAAGCATCTGGACCCCGATGAGCAATCTTCATCGCACAGGTGCACTGAACCGACAGACACTCATCGCTCCCAAATAAGGCCCATATACCACACATTTTTCTTCTGGATAAAAGAATGACACGATTATTAGTCTCCGAATAGACTAATCTCACATCTAATCGTCTGCTGTTTAACGCTACTCTCCTTTTTTGGCTGTACTAGATAATTATGCAGACCAATTATAGACAAAATGCATACAAATGTAACAATTACATTGCAAAGAACACGTTTTCTAAAATTGAAAAGTAAATTTCATAACAAATGACATCTTTGCAATATGTTTACTGAGATATTATTCTTAAATAATAAAAGGGCAATAAAAAGACATACATAAATACTATAAGGCATTAAATATTAATAATTATTAATTAATAATGAAACACATTTAAACCATAAACATCCTCACTGTTCAAAGAAAAACGTACTGCAAATAAAAATAAATAAATAAATAAACAAACAAAATCTCTTTACAGTAATCATGGAATTGTAGCACAAGAAGAGTTGCCAATGTAGGAGATTTTCTCACACACACACACACACACACACACACACACTAATTTATTCCATTATATATTAAAGAAATCTGATTCAAATGTATTAGTGAATATAGCATTTTATGGTGTAAAATATTATATTACACCAATTCAATATGGAACAAATACAATAACCAATATTACAACATCCATGCTTAGCTAATATTGTATATTTTAAAGTATTCCAGTCAAGTTCTTCCACACCAAACTCGCTCATCCATGTCTTTATGGACCTTGCTTTGTGCACTGTGCGCAGTCATGTTGGAACAGGAAGTTGGGAGCATGAAATTGTCCAAAATCTCTTGGTCTGCTGAAGCATTAAGAGTTCCTTTCACTGGAACTAAGGGGCCGAGCCCAACTCCTGAAAAACAACCCCACACCATAATCCCCCCTCCACCAAACTTTACACTTGGCACAATGCAGTCAGACAAGAACCGTTCTCCTGGCAACCGCCAAACCCAGACTCATCCATCGGATTGCCAGACGGAGAAGCGTGATTGGTCACTCCAGAGAACACGTCTCCACTGCTCTAGAGTCCAGTGGCGGCGCTTTACACCACTGCATTCGACGCTTTGCATTGCGCTTGGTGATGTCTTGGATGCAGCTGCTCAGCCATAGAAACCCATTCCATGAAGCTCTCTACGCTGTTCTTGAGCTAATCTGAAGGCCACATGAAGTTTGGAGGTCTGCAGTGATTGACTTTGCAGAAAGTTGCCGACCTCTGCACACTATGCGCCTCAGCACCCGCTGACCCTGCTCTGTCATTTTACATGGCCTACCACTTTGTGGCTGAGTTGCTGTCATTCTCAATCTCTTCTGCTTTGTTATAACACCACTGACAGTTGACTGTGGAAGGCCACGTATATTAATAATTATTAAACTACTAGTTTATTAAAGTGTTAGTTTATTAAACTAATTTTTATCCCTTAACAGGCTGTTTTGTTACTGTGCCTGTAAGACTGGTATGTGTAAATGAGCTCTGTAAAAAAAGTTGTTTTCAAACAACTAAATACGTATCTAATATCAAACAATTTATATGAGAAGTCTGTCAGGTTTTCATTCTAACTATAGTACAGAGACAGCATTGATTTGTGTTATGAATGACCTCAGGCTCAGCGCTGATGCACAAAAACCTTCTATTTTCGTTTTATTAGATCTTAGTGCAGCCTTTGATACCGTTGACCACAAGATTTTACTCCAGCGTCTTGAATGATGGGTCGGCATCTTGGGCTCAGTTGAATGGTATAAATAGGGCTCAACAATAACTCAATATCAATATATAATCGCGATAGAAAATGTTTCAATACCGGTGATATGATTTTTAAACATTTCCAATATTTCGATAAACATTATTTACAACATCTGCACTGACTGATGTTCATTACAGGGCGCTGCCGTCAGTTCATTGCATTCAAGCCGAGCTGAAAAAGCAAAACGCAGTGATTGATGACGTACACCACAGGCACGCAGCCAGTGCTCAGCAATAGCAGGCTAGGCTGGTTCGGTTCGGCTCCAGCGCGGCACGTTCTAGCTGCAAAATGAGCGCTGCTGACCGCAATACAAATGTGACTGAACGAGCTTCCACGAGTGATAATAAAGCAGACAAAATAGTTGATAAAAGAGGAAAGACTAATTCAGTGGTGTGGAAGTGGTTCGGCTATCGAGGATCTGATCGACTAGCAGCGGGAACACATTAAATCTGTTCCATCATCAGATACGAACTCCCTGGCCGCCGGTATTTTTCACGCACAGCTATACCTAAGCTTTACGGTGAAGTTAGGGAAAGGGTGGAGGAGCAGCTGAAGTCAGCGTCGTTTTTTGCGACCACAGCTGACCTGTGGTCAAGCCGAACCCCTGAATCGTACATGAGCCTGACAATCCACTTTATTGATAAAGACTGGAAGCTTGTCAGCTTATGCCTCCAGACGGTCTACTTTCCTGAGGATCACACGGGCGAAGCAATTGCCATCGGACTTGCGGATACGCTCGCTTCCTAGGGAACAATGTCATCAAAGCCGCTGAGTTGAACGGATGGACAAGACTACAATGCTTCGGGCACCGACTGAACTCTGCTATTGGTAAGTTATACACAGTTGATATACGTTTGAGGCCTATGTTAAGTCATTTTGTCTATGGTATGAGTATATTTCTGTTATGAAAATCATTGCAGTAACAAATAGGCTATGCCATACACAAAAAACCTAAACGTATCATAGCAGTGCTTGCATGTTTTTGATAGCTATTTTTATATTCTTTGTATTTGTTTATATTCTTTTTATATTCACACAATTTTATTGTGTGCAATTTATGCCTGCTATATAGTTGTTGCTTGCCATGACATAAGAATTTCATTGAGCATGTGTTATACTGTGCTTTTGATAAATAAAATACTGAGTTGTTCTCTGTGTTGTGTATAACTACGGAGCATTGCACTGCACCCTCCTTACCATACCTAGACACTAGATATTACTTAGTAGGCCTATAGTTTTGATTAGGTGATTTCATTCCCCCGATTTATGTGATTTTACAGGCTATTTATTTCATCTTTAGTCAAGAAATACATATTTGTATGGACGATACATACAGCAATTCTCTCAAATTCAAAGGTGTTTTATTGACATGGGAACAGATGTTTGCCAAATCAAGTGGCATAAGCAGGAGAATTGTGATTTTGTTGTAAGAACTATGTAAATAAGTGAAAAAATTGTAGTTAAAATACAAATACAAATGAGAACTACACACGGCAACATTTTTCTCTCTCTATCTACAGAGAAAGTTAACCAAGACAAGCGAGTGGACAGAGCAATTGGGGTCTATAAAAAGGTAGTGGCTGCCTTCTCCTTCTCCTGGAAGAAAAAGCGGGACCTTGCAGCTGCTCAGGAGGAGTTTAACTTGCCGTAGCACAAGCTCATGAGTGAGACACCAACAAGATGGGGCTCCCGTCAATAAATGGTGAAGCGGGTTCTGGAGCAGAAAAGGGCCATCACAGAGGTCCTCTCAAAGGACAAGAAGACCAGGTCGCTGGTTCCCACCTGGCAAGATGTGGACGTTTTAGAGTCTATAGATGCAGCTCTGAGCCCACTCCTCTAATTCACTGATGCCTTGTCCGGTGAGTCCTATGTCAGTGTGTCATTCCTAAAACCAGTCATGCATCTCTTCGACACCTCCATCTTGAAGAAAGCAGAGGATGACACAGAGCTCACCCGGACCATAAAGACAACAGTGATGGGATACCTCAACGAAAAGTATGATGACCCAGCAATGGATAGTCTGCTTGACATGGCATAGCTCGTTGACCCAAGATTCAAGCTTCAGTACACTCAGGAGGAGAAGTTGAGAGGGAGCTCAGCAATTACCTTCTGGCTCCAGATGCTGACAATGACTCAGATCCTCTGGACTGGTGTAAAGTCTATCAAAAGAACTTCCCCAGAGTAAGCAAACTGGCAAAACACTACTTGTGCATTCAGGACACAAGCTCCCCCTCTGAGACGGTTTTTAGCACAGGTGGCAACATCGTCACATGTAAAAGGGCAGCTTTGAAGCCAGATAATGTAGACAAGCTTGTATTTCTTGCCAGAAACCTCTAGGGCCCATCATAGGTTGTCATCAACCCTCAGACATGTCCCTCCCCTAGCAACATGTGTTTTTATTGTTGCTCACTCTTTTTTTTCTGTATTCTGCAGCAACTCTGAGCACTTTTCATATTCCTTATCCGGCTGAAGCACTTTTGTTTCAACCTATGTACATAAGAATAAGATAATCAGCCTGTGTTGTAGTTTGAAGATATTTATATTGACAAAGCTGAGAAGTTTATGTTTATTTGACGGTGATGTCGTGTTCGTATATGAAGGCTGAATACAAATAAAAGGTGAGCATTGATTTATTTGTACCATTTGTATTTCTAAAGTTTATATAGTTTTATGCTATATAAATAAAATTATTATTATTAAAAAATATATATATTATTATAAATGAAAAATAAATACAAATCAGAAAAATTACCAAGCTAACAAATATAAAGTGCACACAGTCATATTAACATTGGACAAACCACATCAAATTTTAACAGAAAAAATTATTTACTGATGGAATCACATTTATTAAGAAATTATATTCCAAATGATTCAAAGATGCCATGTTTAAATATGTACAAAGCTATAAGCCTTCTTTTAGCTGCTAGGTTGATTTGCTGTAGCCTACGTTACTGAAAGTAGGCTGTTTGTTTGTTGATGCATAAAGTTTTAATTTGCACACAAGGGTCACGACACGCCACTAAATCTAGTTCCCTGAATCATATTTAGTTCACACAGTGTCATTCCCTATATCCGGGGTGTCTAATCTCATCCGCAAAGGGTCGGTGTAGGTGCAGTTTTTCACTCTACACAAGCTGAAGCTCACTTGATTCTACTTGTTTAATCAGTTGGTCTTAGTCTTCAAACATTTCATCAGGTGACCTCCTGCTTTGTTGGAGGGAAAACCTGCAGCCACACTGGCCGCCTGCGTATAAGATTGGACACCCCTGCCCTAGAC